AGTGCAGTAATAATTCTTTGATTATACAATGGTATTAAACATTCGCATTAAATTTAAATATCTGACTAGTTCAAAAACATGATTTTGGACAAAATTTTTGAAATTGAGTTTATTATTAATTTAAAATTTCTGTAATCTTGGATTTCTAAAAATTCTTTACTTTTGTCTGCACTCGATTTATTTACAAAGTCATAGCAGTTTTTGTGCAAGGCGATAACAGTGGATAGACTACAATGATTTGAAGTTTTTAAATGCGTTTATCTCACAATCAGGTTTTTATATTTTTTCACATTTTGCACCACTTTAAACCCTTCATTCATGCTGTTTTTAAAATAATTGTTAACCTATAATTTATTTCATGCTGTTTTTAAAATAATTGTCCGCCATTTTCGATAAGTGTTCATGATAATAGCACCCTAGTTTAGAACAATAGGCTAAGAGAAAAAAGAAGAATTTCATTTTTACTCATGTTTTTTCGCAAAGAGAAGTGCGAAAATTTCTAAAAATTTTCTTTTTTAAACAAAATTGATACCTAATTCAGTAGTATATGCACTTGCTTTTACGATAATAGTTCAAGACATAGTTGATAGCCATCTGAATAAATTCCTCAAAGGATTGTTTGTTTTCTCCAATTTTTTAACATCATTTAGCTTCTATGCAAAAAATGCTTCATTTTTCGCATAAAATTGCCATTTAAAAAACAAAAATAAAATAGTAATAATTTTCATTGCCAGTTTTACATTTAATAAAGTAAATAAATTAGTTTTTCTTTTAAATTTCATATTAATTAAAAAAAAATTGTCGAAAATAGTCAGATACCTTAAATTGCTTCGTTCTACGATCACGTGCAAATTATCATAAAATAAAGTATAAAGTATTAGACATGCAGTTTTATACTTTAAGCAGAAAAGCATAAGGAAAGTCAATAAATAATTGTCTATTTGATCAATATTTTAAAAATATTTAGACTGAGAAATTTTACGATACTTAAAGTGTGGTTAGAATTAATTGATTTTATATGTCAAAACTAATGCGCGTTCACGTATCGATAAATTATTGGTTATCTCAAATAATTAATTTGTTTAATATCGAAAAAAATTAATATACTGTTTAATGTTAATTCAAATTAATATTTGTTTAATATAAAATAGTGTAGCTTATTTGCTTGGTATTATGGTTCGGTGTTGAACCAATTTTTCTAAGGGGGGATGTGTAATTGTCTACTAAATTTGAAACCAATTACCTTTATAAATTGATTACAATAATTAAGATTACTTGTAATTATATTACTTGTACACATGACTACTTGTAAATTGTAATCAAGATTAGATAAAATAAAAAGTTACTGAAAATCGTAAATCGTTTACTTTTTTAAGAAGCAAATTGCTATTAGTTGCAATTACGATTACAATTGCAAATATAAACCATAATCACGGCAGAAAGCGTAAATAGTTAGTATGACGGTTTGTAATTACGACAATAAGTAATTATTTAGTTAATTTATTTCGTTAATAGTGAATTTATTTTGCCTGTTGTTTGCTGTGTACTATATTTTATGATATTTGTTTTGTTTTATTTTTATAGTTTTTAAAATTTTTTTAATAAAAAGCGTTTTAAAAGTCATGAAAAAAATTGATTTGCCATCATCCATTTAAATTCGTATTTTTCGTATTCATTCTTAGGTATTTACTCATGAACATTTCGCCTAAACTTTCATAACAAAAAAAAAAAAACAAAAACATTTAATATTCGTTAGTTTTAAATATGATGCTATGAAAATACACTCTGTTGTTTCTTCTGAAGTTGAAAATATTATTTGTAGCTTTTATGTTAAATATTGAAGAAATAAAATCTTCAAGTAAAAAGTTTAAATTGTATGTTCGTTTAATTGAGATTACTTAAAATATTGAGATGATATAATATAAAAGAAGTGAAATAATATGAAAGATTGATATGAGAGAAATGAGAAAATTTTGATATGAAAGAATCTGAAGCTATTAAAACACTTTCACTGTTAAATAGTTATTACACAATAAGTTTAATTCAGTTCTGTTTTCCTAAAGATGTATTTACTTTTCTCAACAGAAATTAATTTTTAAAAAATAAAATCTTTTTGAATAAAATATTTTAAGAAACTTTACTAAATTTTTGCTTTGAAGATTGTTGCTTTCGTGTACTCTTTTTCACCGAATTTTTTTCCCTTAAAAGTGATATTATCTTTTCATTTGATAATTGATAAATGGAAGAAAGGTTTTAAACAGATGCAAAAATCCCACGGTTTTTGCTGTGATTGCGTGGCAAGGTCTAGTTGAATTGCCGTGAATTTTCAATTTTTGTTAGAAATCACAGCATTTTCGTCGCTGTAAGTATGCAGGGACTATTTCAGTTTGTTATTAATTTGAAATGCTTTATTGTACTTTACAATTATCTTTTTCTAACAGAATATTCTTTAGAAAATATCAGAATACAAGTAAAAGGAAAATTAAATAAATTTCGTTAAAATTATTAAGTGATTACTAATTTTTTTTCTTTTACAATTAGTAATGTGGAATTAGAATGTATCATTTAGTTATTAATAGCAAAAGTAATGTAAATTTTTTTTCATATAATATCCATTACGGTGAAAGAGCAAGTTATTTTTAAAATAAATAAGAATGAACTCAATTTTTATTATTTTAGCGGAATGGTTCTGAGATTTGAATATCCTATACGAACTATGAATTCCTTGTTATAGCGTGTTACATTGGAATACGCTTTACTACTAATTATAGTTATTGTGATAAAACAGCTATTAGCAAATTATAGTCATAAGCAAAAATGAAAATATGAAGAATATTCTTGTAATATGTGTTTTTAAAAATAAACAAAACTGCAGAGTTTTTAAATTTTTTTTTCTTAAATTTTCAGACAACAGAAATCGAGAGTTAGTAGTATGTATATTTGAGAATATTTTTTGAATGGTATAAATTGAAATTCGATAATACCGAAAAAAGCACAGTGATTTTTGCATTTATGGAAAAAATGAGTGCATACGAATACACGAACTTTAAAAAGCACCTTCTTAGAATAAGTTTTTAATACTCACAGAAGAAATTACTTCCAAAAATTTTAATCTATTTGACGAAGTATTTACAGCATATTATTTAGTTATTTCGCGTTTTACGAAAAATGCTATAAGCTGACTGCATAAAAATTCTGCATGTAAAAGAAACTACAATATTTATAGGCTCGCTGTTAAATTTTTGAGGTAATGAAACTGAAAATTGAGAGTTGTGCTCGCGGGTATAAAAATACTAATTTTAGAACAACTTTTTTTTAAAAACATTTCTGAAACACGCGTATGTAAAGGATTATTGTACACTTTTTTATTAGCTTCAACTTATGGTTTTTGGAAAATGCTTTCAAATGCACACATTCTTGAATCATACTGTAAAGAGTATGTAAAAAAGGTTTTATCTTTTGAAAATTTGTTGCGGCGTTATTCCTTGAGCAGGTTTTTCGGAGGGGGTTTATATTAATCAAAAACAATACTTTTCAGAGAATAAAATGTTATTTTTTTGTAAGTTATTGTAAGTTTTTCAAGTGATTTGTTCCGAGTTAGTGCAAGTTATAAATGTGAGTTATTCTTAGTTAGTTAAGTTATATGAGTTATTGTGAGTTTGTGCAGGTTAAGTTTTGTCAGAATCCTATATGTTAAATATGAAGAAGGCGTAGACTGTAAATAAGAAGAAAAGCAGCACTTTAAAAAAAAATCAAAGGAAAACTTTTTTACACTAATTTTTTTATAATTTAAAATTTACACCACCCTGCATTGTTTATTTAACCTCATTGAAATGAACGAAAATCAAAAATTAATAATTTAAATACTGATTAATAATTGATAAATTATTAATCAGTAATATATAATATTTATTAATAATAATTATTAATAATTGATAAATTTTCTTCAAAATGGTTAAATTTCACCATTTCAATATATATATATATATGTATTTTAAAACTTTATTTCCATTAAAAAATTTTAACATTATTAAAAGCTTTAAATATAATAGATCTCTTGACAGAACTATATTTAATTATAATGTTGAAGCAAAAATTTAGGGAGTATTAATATATCCGATTATGAATGTCACTGTGAGGAAAAGAAATATTTTGATTTTGTTGATAAACATCATAAACATATTATTACTGGTAATTTAAATATTATAGAAAACTTAGAACTTAGGAATTTAATGATAAAAGGCACAAAATTTAGACCCATTTACCATACATCAATCAATAAAATTCTAAAATACTTTCTGAATGATCTCNATCTTATAAAAGCCAAAATGAGTAAAATTTCGCCAAATAAAAGGAAACATTTAGATAATTTATATTTCGTTATTAACTTTCAGAAACCTATTTTCGATAAGATCAAATTTCATAATATTTTTGAAAATTTTAAAACTTTATTTCCATTGAAAGATTTTAACATAATTAAAGGCTTTAAATATAATAAATCTCTTGGTAGAACTACATTTAATTATAATAATATAAGCAAAAATTTAGGGAGTATTAATATATCCGATTATGAATGTCACTGTAAGGAAGAGAAATACTTTGATTTTGTTGATAAACATAGTTAACATATTATTACTGGTAATTTAAATATTATAGAAAACTTAGAACTTAGGAATTTAATGATAAAAGGCACAAAATTTACACCCGTTTACCATATATCAATCAATAAAATTCTAAAATACTTTCTTAATGATCTCCTCAATAGTTCATGTTTAAAGATATCAAATAGATTCTCTTTACCTTTAAGTATGCTAACAGAATGGAAATGGGGTGCTTATTATTACTTTAAAAACTTTGTTTTCAATAATAAGGATAATTTAAATAACAGTAAGTAATATAGTAAGTATATCAGTAAGTAATATTTCAATGATATAAACATTGTTCTAAGTGATTGTTAATTGCTGTAAACATTATTGTGATAGTTAATTACTGTAAACATTGTTGTAATAGTTAATTGCTGGTAGTATTCTTGTAAGAAATGCTTCAATGTTATAAACCTTTATTTGTGGAACTAAAAAAAACCTGAGTTTTATTGATCATTACTTTCTTTAGAGTTATGAAGATTCTCCTGGTTCTTTTATTTGTAGGCGTGGCTTATGCCACCTCTCACGATGGTAAGTTTATACTTAATTGGAAAAAATATGAAGTTATAAATTTATAATGTAGGATTTTTATTTCGTAAAAAATTTAATTCGTAATAAAATATTTAATACAATTACAAAACAAAAATTTAAATAAATAGTGACATTCGTTTGCCTTTAAGCATTGCAATTTTTTTCATTACACTGAATATATTTCACTAAATGAAAGCTCACCATTTATGCAGGAACAGAAAAAAGAGTTTTCAGCAATGATAATCCATAATATATGCCTTTAGAACATTCTTAAGTTATACAGTAAAAAGCTATAAATGCGACTTAAATTAAAAATTTAAGTATGAAAAAGATAGTCCAATTGGACAACAATTAGAGCAAAGAAAAATTCAAAAGAAGGGGTTGAAAGTGACCGAACGAAAGATAAATGCAATATCTTTATACTTACAGCAAGCCTATTAATTTTATTTTATTTTATTTTATAACCATCGTTGAACAGCTGACCGAATTTTATTCGTTTATGACGACTAATGTTCAAGTACGTAGCCTTATAATTTTAAACCCAATCCAGAACTCCTGGATCAAGTATTGGGAGAAATTTGCCTTCGTGGAGTACTTTTTGATGGAGCTAACCCTCATGCTAAATATCTAAAAGTATGAAAGATAAACAACTGGAAAAAAGTTGCCATGGACAGGAGGCGTTGGAGACTACGTGTGGTTGAGGCAGGCAAGGCATGTAAGGGGCTGTTTTGCTGAAGAAAAAGAAGAACACGCATTTGCGTTACATGGAGAGGAAGACCAACAGAACCTCTCACGGTTAGCCTGACGGCAAGGGGACTCTAACCCATGATCCGTCTACCACTGAGGATATTCCACGTCAGCACTGTGGTCGTGCAAGCCGGATGAGGAATTCGTATCGACTGGGATTCGAACCCGGTTCGCCTCATTGGAAGGCGAAAGCTCTATCCCCTGAGCCATCGCGGCTCTAAGCCTATTCATTTAGCATTGTTTATACTACGATATGTATACTTAAGGCACTATAGAATAGTCCGCATTAAATTCCATATAATCTTGATAAAAGAGGAGGCAACAAACGAAAATAGATTCTATAGATAAGACTAAAAATAGTTGTAAAAACTTTAATCAGAGAAAACGTAATAGCTCTAAAAAATTTGTAATATTATTCACGCTTGTGCAAACAGATCGAAAAAACAGCTTGGCTCACTTATTGGCATGCGAAATTTCTAAACTTTTGTTTTAACCTTTCTTTGTAATTTGTTTCTCTTTATATATGGAAGTGTAAAACTTAATTATTAGCTACTTTTTATGGCTATTTTAATTTTAATTTTTTAGTACTAATGAATCATATTGTTACTTTTTTATTCTGTTTATAATGGCTACACGGTTATTGAAAATAGCATAAGTTTTCACGTGCAAATTTTCTCCTTATTAAAAAAAATATATAAAAAGGGCAAGTTTTAAAGAATAAATAAAAGTAATGAAAATTTAGACTTGGCTATTATTTAGCAAAAATGATAGACTCAATTTAAATATATTTAATATGAACTATTTTATAGAGCCACTAAATTTAGGGATAAAAAGGCTTTATATTTGGCAAAACCATTAGAAAATGAGACAAACAAGCTCTCGTAGTCTTCGTATCACTTAAAGGTTAGCTTTTTTACAAGTAAAGACTTATATATTAGCTTTTGATGAGTTATACTGAGTTCTTTTTGCTTGGATTATTCTCGATGATAATCTTCAAAATTTGATACAGCCTTTATATTACTTTCTTTTATTGATATAAATCTTAAATCGTTATCAAATTATCGATTGAAATCGATATTATCAATTGAAATTGATATTATCGATTGAAATGGTTATCAAACACTCTGCATAAGTCTCTCATCAATTAACAAATAAACTCTTTAATAAATAAACTAACATTTTAAATTAACAAAAAAATTATTTTTTTTACGCGTAAAATGTATATTACTTTATCTATTAACTTTTTTATTATTGAGTTAATTTAGTTTATATATTACCTGCATTTTAGATTTAAAGAAGGCTTCCGATGAAGTTTTTGAAAGTTTTTTCCATGGCATGTCACATGCTCCAGCTCTTCATGAAGTATTGGGAGTTGAAAATACTGAAGAGTTGAAAAGGTAAATGCAGTTCTGCGTTTTAAACTGTTTTTCAAAATATTGTTTGACTTTGCTTAGTTTTTTCATTTTTTTAATAGATTTTCTCGTTTCGATGCAATTTATTATCATTCAGTGAACATATTCAAGGACTAGAATCACGCGAGCTCAATAAATACTAAAAACGATACTTTTCAGATCGCCAAGCGAAAGGAAATTCAACTCTTTTTTTCTAATTTTTGTGTGCTTAAAAGTAATTAAAATAGATAAATAATAAAAAAGTTGGCGGGAAGCTACGATTTTTGGTAATTTTTCACTTGCTTCCAGCTGATCAAAAATTATCCTAGAAACGAAACGATTAGCGATTTCAGAAATATGGAAACGGATTATTTAATATTCCAAAAATATAATACTTCTTAAGATATAAGATTATTAATGATAACTATTGATGAACGCTCTCTTAAAACCAGGTTATATCTTTACATTGAAAGATTAGGCGTTCAAACTTGTGATCAAAATGACAAGGAATAAATCGTTCTACATTTTCCACTGGTGGTGTGGCAGGAAGTGGAAAAGGTTGAGTCTATGGTGTGAACCTTTTTAACTAGCCTAGTTAACCGGGATTAACATAACTAAAATAAATTCTAAAAACATCTAACGATACATATTCATTCCTTAATTTCTGCAGAAAAATTGAGAACAGGAAAATTCAAAAGCAATTAGAGAGTTGTACTTTATAAATAGTAATGGTACTTTATTTACGTTGCACTTGAGCTGCACAGTAGGCTGTTGGCACCGGTCTGGGAAACATGCCTGAGGATGATCCGAAGACATGTCATCGCAATTTTGATTCTCTACGGAGTGGACGGTGCCCTGCTTTGGTAGCCCAATGATCTGCTCACGAAGGAAAGCACTTTAAGGTGAAACAGTTTAACGAAAACTGATATCATGCACCCTCGATCCCTCCACTGATTGATCAAAGTGGATATCCACCCAAACACTGGCTGCTGCAAGTGATGTTCGACATCTTTGATCTACTGAGAACCGTGTTTTAACGTTTAGTCTACTGCGGAACGCAATAAAAAAGTTGATGAGATAGTTCGTGCTCTACTTAAATATCTGTGAAGGATCTCCCAGGTAAGTGCACCTTCTCTAATGCAGGCTGACTGCCATAGCAAGGAAACCAAGGAGTTAGCAACTCATCAGTTAGGACAGGAAAAATCACTCTTTCGGACAGATGAGATGTTACTCTTTTCGTATTTACATTCTGGATGAGCACAGCGGCTGGAGTCGCTCCAGTGGTATTCCAAAATGAAATAAATCAACTGCTCATAAATCATTTTGCGCATTCTGCCTAGTCAATATAACAAAGATCAACGGAGTTTGAAAAGTACTTTACTCTAATGAAAAATATTTTTAGATTTTTTCTTTAAAGATAGATAATCATATTTTTAATTTAGATCAGAAAGTATGGTAAACAGAAACTTAAAAAGTAGCAAATTTTATAACTGAAATTAATGTTTTATAATCGATGCATTCAGTACAGTCTCACATAAATTTTATGTTTCTTAGATTTGAAAGAGGTCTCAAAGAAGAGTTAGCAGACTTCCTTAGAAAGGCATTTGACGATGCCTTGAAGAAACTCGACGATGCTGTTAAACAGAACAAGGATATACATAAGGAAGCTTTAAAGAAAGTAAGATATCCAAAACGTAATTGCTTTTTTAAATGAAATAGAAGATCTATTATAATTTTTCTGGCTTTATAGATTTTTTTATACTGCGTGTATGTAAAATTCCACCTTAAAATTACGTTAATAAAAGAATACTCAACTATCTTTGATAGAAATTTCTCTTTCCGATAATTAGCAATAATGATGAATAATATCTAATATCGAATGTATCAGACATTTTTGCCATGGGTCTGACACAGGAGAGAATCATATTACCAAACTCTTGCAGTAAAATTTAATTAAAATATTCCCTATATTAAGGATATTTTCCTTTTACATCTCTTAAGAAAGTTCCTTTATAAGAATTTTAAGCTCATGTAAAATTATGGAATATTATGGTACTATGGATTTTAACTTTAGTTTAATAAAACTTTAGGTATAAAATGTTGTCAATTCAGGTATAAAATATAATAAAAAGTAAAAATGTATTGTCTGATTACAACATGAATATCTCAGTAGTCTCAAAGTCTCGCCAAATCCACTTTTAAGGAAATCGATGGTTCAACGATGCTCCAAAAATATGATACGTTCATTGAAAGTGGTATAGATTGTCATAAATTTTAGTGATAGATTATCACATAAACAGCAGAAATGTTTCAACAATTGCAGTGTACTCGTGTGCAACTGAAACATAATCTAGAATACCGAATTGCTCCCATACATTGGATACTTTAATTGTAAGTGTTATTAATTGCCATAGACTTTAGCGAAAAATAATGCATAATGTATAATAGCATAAATATTTCAGCGATATTAATGTAGGTCCATCTCATATGAAAGGCTACAATCATCTGTATTTTAGAACAGTGGTTCCCAACCTTTTTATCACTGAGGACCGGTCAACGTTTGATAATTTTCAGCTGAGATGATTGTATTGATTATTTATATTGTTTTGATTTAATAATTTCAATTCAATTGCATTTAAACACGACTTCAAAATAAAATACAATAATATACGCATTATTGGTGCTGCTTTAGTTGATGCCTCTTAGCTTTCGGTTAACCTCTTGTCCATGAAAAGTTCTACAAAACCGTGCGAAATGCACTACAATAGAACGGAAATAATTTAAACTTCCTTGGACGGCCCGGGGGGTAGCGAACACTGCTCTTTGAAAGTTGTATAAATTGTCATAAGCTTTAAGTGTTAGATAACCACATACGAATATTATTATATTATATTAATATTAATTACGTACTAAACATTTCAATCATCTCAGTATACATCTCAAACAAAACCCATGCGCAATGCATGGAAACTTGCGCTTAAAAGAGAAAAATAATCAGAGAAAATACTTTACTTTCATGCTGATTTTTTTTAAAATTTTGCATTCAATTTTCATGATTTTCCAGCTTTTTTACACGTAATGCTTTTGCTGCATTTAACTTAAACTGCATAATACTCTCCTAAAAATAAGACACAGTCTTTTTTTTTGTCTCTAATTTGAAAACGAATGAGCTTAGAGACAAGAAGTTTAGATAAAATGTAGACTAAATAGATTTTTATTACAAAATTGAGTTTTACTAATGAATTTGTCCACCGCTAACTGCTATGCATTTGTGGAACTGAATTTTCATATTAAAACATTCAGGGAAGTTGAATATGAAAATCAAAGACTAAGCATGGAATAATTCTTGGGCTTATGCAATGCTCGTGAAGGAGGATTCAAAATAGCAATTTCTCTACAAGGTATTCATTTCTTTCACCGGATTCAAATCTGGAGATCTGGATGTCCTATACTTTGGTTGAATGTCTTCATATTACAGAAAAAACCTCTACAAAGAATTTATATAGTCGCATGCAGCTAAAATGAATTTCGAACCATCTAAATCTCTAAAAAAGCAAAGTTCTAAAAAATAAGAAGCTATGTTAATCATTAAAGTTTAAATTTTTTTGCATGATATTTTTTATACTGTACTTTTAATTTTTACTGGTCACTTTCCGATCCCATACTTCTTATTTAAAATTCATTTACTTAATAATAATTTTCATTAAAATTAATTTTGCGTGAATTTATTTTTATTATAAATTAACATACAAATGATGTTCTTTTCTAAAGTAATGAAGAAATTCAAACCCTTTTGTAAGAGATTTGCAGGATGTGATTTTTTCACTTTTAAATTGTGTGCACATTTTAAATGCTGTTTAAATATTTCTTTCATTACAGTTGAAAGATCTAAGAGAAAAAATGAAAGATCTTAAAATCGAAGATGATGATACCGGTAAAGAAATTATGGAGCACATAAAAGAACAGGTCACAGGAAAACTAAAAGAACTTTTAGAAAAAATGGGCCTCATTGAGAAGCGATCACTTCACTCTGATCCTGATAATATTTTCGAAGACTTCAATATCAGGGATTTCATTATTCGATTGAAGGAAATGGTAAGAAAAATAAAGTTGTCGTATTGGCAGTTAAAATTCAATTTTTATTATCGCTGTAGACTATTGATAGTTCTTTAATAGTAATAATAATAAATAATTGGAAGAAAACTGAAAACTGCTTTCTAAATTCTGTATGTTTCTCAGAGTATAAAGGTCATTGTATCAATTTTATACGCTTAAATATTTTTTCTTTTACAAAAAACACCGTTTATTTGTTATTTTCAATTTAATCACAGGAATGTTGAATAACTACTACACTTCTAAATGAAAATAATCATTTAAACCAGCGAAATATAGTATTTCTCATTAAATAATATTTATTTTTAGACTCTAATGGCTGATTGATGATTCAAACAAAAATTAAAGCAATTATATTGCTGTAGCAATTATACTATGTGATGTAAAGAAGAGGACAAAAGCTCAAAGCCATATTTATTTTCTATAAAAAAGGAAATATTTGTCGAAAATGTTATTCTAAGAGGCTCCTAAATTTGTGACAATATACTAAGTCTATCATACATCTTTTAAAAGAGTCGAACTATCTTATGTTACCTGTGCTTGGCACTGAACTCCAAAACTTTCTCTTTCAAATGCCCACCTAAAGAATGACCTTTCGTCATACAGGCATCTGAAGGGCATATTTGTTGGCCACTCTTTCAGGGATCAACGTTGCTCCTACTGTCAGAGCAGATAGTACATAGAGAATGAAAGAACATCCATGCCTTGCCCGGGATTCGAACAGAGAACCTTTCTAATGCAAGACCAGTTCCCTGACCCCTACACAGACTGGTCACAGCTACACCAAAACTACTAGTTGGAGAAAAGAAGAACGTTTATTCTTATTTCCTACTTAAGCGTTCCTAGATATTTTTCTCAACCTATTATTAAGGGAATGGTCAGTTGTAATGGACGCGACAAGAATCTGGCACCCTATCTCAAATGAATAGTTGTCTCGTCCTACATTGTCTCGCCTGGATATTAGCCCGTGAACAGAAGCTATGTTTACTTTTTATGATGATTAAGTTCCTCCTGAAAGCGTATTTCATCTCCAGTTAACTGGTTAGTTTATGTTCCGATGTTCACAACGGCTTCTCAAAACTATTGAATAGTCTTTAGACCGTGTACACCAGAATGAATGTTGCAAAGCTTGTTGATTCTCTAGTAGTAGGAATTGTTTTCCCTTAAGGTTGATTGGAGACGAAGATTTTGCTTCAACTCCAAAGAAATCTAAACAATTATGCACCTTATTTGGATTATTCCCATAATATATAATCTAAACAATTATGTACCTTATTTGGATTATTAGATTGTAAATGCTGCAGATCAAATGAGAGTCTTTTAAAAGATATAGATTATTTCTTAAAGATAATCTCTTAAGATCTCCAGATCTCTTAAAGACGGAGATCACCTAGACATCTTAAAAACACTTCAGGTATAAATTTTTGAATGTATAAAAACCCTATAACTGGATAGCTATAACTGAATGTTATTTTAGCTCAAAAAAATATTTTATGTCTTTTCCTTTTAATTAACAGATTTTGGAGAAAATGGATGCGAAAGCTCTGAAGAAATCATTATCAAAGCTTGTTGGACAAGGAACCCAGGTAATGATTTATAGAATTTTAAAACACTAATGCGAAAGAAAATCGGAAACTTTCATCTACTTCCCTTTTTTTTAAATTTTCGTCTGTAAAGTACAGCTGTTCTCTCTTTCCTTCTTCCTCTCCTTATACATATATACACCGAAGAGCCATCACATTATGACCACCCTCCATGTATAACAATGGGCTCGTCCAGGTTTTCATGGTTTCTCGCCCAGGAACAATGTTTTCATGGGGCACATTAGGACCCATAATCCTCATAGAACGATCCCTGACGTCTGTAAGCTACTTGAATATAGTTGCAGACCAGGTTCACCCATTTATGGTAAAAGTTTTTCCTGCGGGGGATGGTGTTTACCAACAGGATAATGCACCATGTCATAAGGGTCGAATCGTCATGGATTGGTTCGAG